CAATCATGCCTGGCATGCTAGAAAGCCAGCACTGCCACTTAATGAAATGGGGCTTCTTCCTGCTTCAGTGCTGAGTGAGGTTACACCTCAAAAAGCAGGTATTTGGATGAGAGATGTTTTGAACCACGTTTATTAGTGAAGTGCCACGGGTATCCCTTCTTATGCAGTTTCCTTAAATCTTTTGCCCTGTTTTTGAGTAGCATAACTCTTTTGCATCAACTCTTTTGCACCATTCCCTCCAGGCATTTTCCAAAGAGGAAGCCACCACAATCTCTGCTGATAAGGCAGAAGACTGAAAGATGACACGATTTGCACAAAATCTCCCTGTCTTTCTTTTTCTTGCATGCATCTGCATGGCTCAAAAGGTAATCTCTTGCTGTCTGCTCAGTCTCAGTCATAGACAGGCAGTAAATAAAAGGAGAGAAGGGAAGATGCCTTTCCCCAGGAAATGAAAGCCCCAGCTGCCAGTCAGCACCATCTAATAGCCATTTATCTTTGGATTTTCAAAGGCCATCTTTTCCTAATATTTCTTCTTCCTCCAGCTTTCCACTAGCTCTCAGTGTGCAGAGATCAATGCTTTGATTCTCCTTGGGTTCTGCTGCCTTAATTTGCTCTGTTCCTCTACTAACTTTCCTATGTTTTCAGTCTCTGTCAATTAAGAGTTGCATTCCCTCACAGCAGTGTAACTCAAAGGACAATACATGTCCCAGAGGAATCTGCACAGTAACCCAGGCTCTGTTTTCTGTGGTGTATGCCAACAGGAAGCAAAATAAATAGGTGAAGTTCTTCATTAATGATCAGTTTGGCATTTACTGCTGTATTGATCACTTGTTGAATAGACTCTCTGTCTGGGAAAAGAGATGACAGAATAAAGTACAACCCTGATTTGGGAAGGTGTGGGGGGTTTACCAAAGAACAGTTACTCATTTATTCTTATAATGCAATAAAACATGGGCATCAAGTTTAAAACAAAGAAAAATAAATATTTTTTTACACGAAGTTGATGAAAAATTCATGGCTTCAAACTTTAGACCTCTTCAGAAGCAAACCCCCCCCTTGCTGAAACTTGCATTTACTTAAACAAGATCAGCAATTATTTAAATAGAAAAAGCCACCACAGTCAGCAG